TATATATATATATATATATATATATATATATATATATGCTAATTTAATTTGGAGTGGTATGATGCGATTTGAGTGGGAGTGCATATTCTAACACCCACAGGCATTGATCCCTGCCTACTTCCTACATTCATTCAAGTTTCCTGGTCTAAGGCAGGAGATAACCCATCAATCTTATTTAGCTCCCCAAAGCATCAGATGAGTTTCTTCCTCCCTCTCCCTGCAATGCAGCAAAACCAACCAGCCTGGTTACTGTAGGCCACAAGGAGTGGCCTGCAGCTGAATGAGCATTGCCTTGTCCAAGACATGTGAGAGCATATGTTTAGGGATAGGGATTCCAAAGATTGGAGAATTTGAAAGCCTATAAATCTTTTTGGCTCTGGTCAACAGATCCGTGAACGTTATCAGAAGGCCCTGCAGGAGCTCGACCGTTGCAGCCCTCGCTACATGGAAGAAATGGAGACTGTGTTTGAGCAGGGGCAGGCTCTGGAGCAGAGACGGATTGTCTTCCTCAAAAGTGCCTTTTTCGCCCTGCATCGGCGTCTGGATATCACTGCAGATTCCAGGTGTGGAAAAAGGAGTCTTGCATCAGGCCCCAAGAATAACACATAGAGTTGTTTCTTCATTGTTGTTGGCCTACAGACAGAATCTTGCCTGACTAAAACCACAATCTACATAGCTGTAGATATATATTGTGAACTGCTAGGGAGCTCTGTCTTTGTCTTCTTCCTGCTTACCAGACATCCCAAGCCAATGCCCTTTTGCCTTCTGGAAAGCAACCTATCCTCCTGTGACTGTAACTACATTTCCACCACAACTTGTGGGCTACATAACTCATACAGCTGGCCTCACATTGTTCAGATCCATTGATTAAAATGAAGATACTGGTATTAAACTTCATGCAGGAGGATTTCCTCTCATTAAAAGAGCCATGCCTCATTGAAAGGGGTGGTAAAATGGCCATTACTGGACACCAGGGACATTTTTTTAGTTAAAAATGCAATTTATCTACTTCATGCATGACTGAGGAATTCTGAGAGTTGAAATCCTCATATCTTAAAGTTTCTAAGGTTGAGAAACAGTGATTTACTCTATCCTCATGAATGCCAGATATGGATTATGGTACTGGCTAAAAAGGGATGAAAGGCCACTGCTCCAGATGTGCAGTATCACCATTTGCCATTAGATGGAGGAATAAAGCTAAGGGTGACTATTGAGGAGGGATCAAAAAAGGCAAGATGCTGACTTTAACTATACAGTCAAATCATCATCTTGACTTCTTTGATCACCAGATGACCTGGTGCTTCCTTTATTCCCTTGAACCTATCTCTCCACAGGCAGCTACACCATAGATGTCCTCTGCCCTTTTTACCAGAATGCCACATTCCACAAAAGAACTTGTAATTGATTCACAATTAGATAGTCAGAGGATGCTTCCAGATGTATACTATAATGCTATTATAATCCTAGCTCCAATATTGGCACCTGTCCTGGGTTCAACAACTCCTTCCCCATTGCCTACCTTATAGAATATATTCTGATCCAGCTGCCCTGAACTTTCCACTAATAGAGAAATTCATTGGGGTTACTTCCTTTTCTCCTGCAGCAAAAAAATATATCACAATTGTCATGTTCTACAGGCAGCTTTTACTAATTATTAGGCAACAATTATTATTATTATTATTATTATTATTATTATTATTATACAATTGTATCACAGCGGCCAGTTGTCTCGCTGGATTTGGCATTGGTTACTAGTCGGGCCCCACCCAGGGGCCTAGGACGTCGTAACTTATAATATGCGTGCAGTTCCAAGCAGTGCGGCTTTTTGCATTTGACTGATGGTGATTTTGTCAATTTTTAACTGTTTTAAATGTAATTCCAGTGCT